CATCTATATATGTCCTTAACTGGATTTAACATTACTATTGCCTCAGGAAAGATATCATCTAAGACTTAAGGTTCTAGAAGAAACTTTAAGGTCATCTAGCACCAGCATTCGCAGCACATCAGATGGAAGATGTTCAAATAATGGTGCTTCACGTCGGCAATCACTAGGTGGAGCTGAAAATGTATCAAAATTAACCTCTAATGGATTTTTACCCAAGAGGTCACCATCCTTTCAATTGAGATCTTCTGGGACCAGTACAGTGTTGAAGAATGCAAAAGGGACATCAAAGTCATTTGATGGTGGCTCAAGGTCATTGGACAGGGGTAAAAACCTTCTTAATGGCACTGGTCCAAATTTCAAGCAAAGCCAGTCATGTGATGGAGCCAAGGATAGTGAGACTCAAAATAATACCTTGAAAGGAAATCAAGATGAAAAACACGATGATTTACAAGTGACAGTAACAGTGGATACTGTGCCAGGAGTATTGTATGATTTACTGCAGAAGGAAGTGATTGCTTTGAGGAAAGCTGGTCATGAAAAGGATCAAAGTCTTAAAGACAAGGATGATGCTATAGAGGTTAGTTTCTTCCTCAGCAACATTATAAATTCCTCATGTTTGCTTGGTTTAACTTTATTATGTTCTTCAGATGTTAGCTAAGAAAGTAGACACTCTAACAAAAGCAATGGAAGTTGAGGCTAAAAAAATGAGAAGGGAGGTTGCTGCCATGGAGAAGGAGGTGGCTGCAATGCGAGTGGATAAGGAACATGACAATAGGGCAAAACAATTTGGAAATTCCAAGGGTCCTGTCAACAGTTCTCAGCTCCTTCCTGGAAGGTATGCCTTTTCCTATGAAAAAGTTATCTAAATACAGCATCACTTTCATATATTTACCCCCAAGATGATAAATTTTGATCTTCTTTTTTCACTGTGTTCCTCCTATATTCAAAATTTCATGATATGCATCTGTCCTTGCACAGGTTTGTGCAATTGTATATCCAATTGGTTTCCATGCTGCTTTGTTGTAGCCTGTAGGGGCTGTAGGTGGTGAGCGTAACATGTTATCTTTAAGTTAGGAAGGATAAAAAACTGATTTTTGGTTCATGATGCAACTAGTCATACTATTTACTTAGGTTTTGAATTAGAAATACATTGTCTGAGATGGTTTCTGTATTCATTTACTCTACAAGATCAAAACCTAATGAATTGACCATAAGAAATTAATGTTGATGTAGTTACCAGTTTCACTTTGTTAGAGCCACAAAGGTTTATAGGCCTAGAAGCAAATGTTATGTGGATTGCCTGTCTGCTTAACTTGTTAATCAGCTTTTGTAGGTTCTTTAAAGTTTAAATTTGATTGTGGTAGTCAGGTAGAGTATATGGAAACTAATAGATATGGTCCTTTTGGATAAATTAGTAAGATTGCCATACAAAATTTTTGTCTATGCTAAGTGAAAGACCTTCCAAAAAGTTAGACCAGAACAAAAAATTGAGTGCTATCAATAAACATCATTTGTAATCTAAAACCAGAATGCTATCTATTTACTTTTTTCCTTTTCTAGTTTTTTTTTTCCTGTCTATAAATCCTGGAATGGTCCAGAATGCTATCTATTCACGTTGTTGGATCACAAGCTGAATAGTCTTGATGACAATTGCAAATGAACCTTCTTTAACTAATCATTAGGGAAAATGTCTAAATTCAGGTTGAAATAGAATTCCAAATCTTAATTCACTGCTTCATTTGACTGGGAAGGTGTTTAGAGTTTAGACATGACAGCTGACTGATGTCACATAGCTGCTACAAAGGATAGAACTAGTAACTCTACAGTCTCCATGTTTATAATTTATGCTTTGACAGTTTGACATGGCATTATTATGCATTGGCCTTGTCAGTTACAGCACATATAGCAAACTTTTTATTTTACAGGCAATTTGTTGTCCTTATTAACAACTGCAAATGAGTTTTGTGAATCAATACTGAAAGATATCATCTGTCAAAGCCTCTTTTTTTTTTTTTTTTTTTTTTTTTTTAATAATGATTTTGTGCATTTTTGTCTGTAGGACTGTAGCTAGAAGTGGAGTAACACGCAGCATGCAATAGTAGTAAGGAAACTCCCCGAGTACTGCTGTAAGAAGCAATTATGCATAGATTGGCCTCTGCTCTAAATTACTTATCCATTATCCTATTCCACCCCTTATATTGTTTATTGTAAAATCATAACAAAGCATGAAAAACGACTTTGATCGATCGATCCCTCTGCTCTAGTGGGGAATGTGAAAAATTAGTCGAGCAGCAGAGAAAACCAATATAGATGGATTTGGTGTATTTCCAAGTTAGACTACTGATCCCTCTCTCCTGTCTGTCTGGTTGTGGCAACATGAAGTTTAGCTGTTAAGGGGAGAAAACCCACCCATGGAATTCGATATATGTTTCTGACTTTAGACTGATCCCTCTGCTTAGAAATCACCAAGAAAAGATCAAGGTTGAGCTAACTCTCTTTTGGCTGAATGATATCAGTGGCAGTGATTGCGAGGCTGTATAGGTGGCTTGATGTCATTTACTTTATCCAGCTTTTTTTAAAATTATTATTAAACCACGTTTGCAGTCTGTATTTGTAATATGCAAGCTAGTGTGTGATATGGTTAATGGTTCCAGTTTGTCAATATTCTTGTATTGAGTGAGACTACGATCAGATTTTTCGCTCCGTATTTATTTATTTTTACCTTTTCTCAGCCCTCTGATTTGGTTCCTGTGCAATACTAACACTTTAGACTAGAAACTAATCAAACTATGGTGTTGTGCTATTAAAAAATATTTTTTTAAAATAACATTTAAAATATTAAAAAGAAAGAATAAGGGTCAAATAGGTTATCTAATTACGCACCAAATTATAATTAGGCTACTGAACTTAAAAAAAATTACAATTAAGTTTTTGAACAACGTAAATTTATACAATTTAATTTAAAATGACTTGTTTAAATTTTATATTAATAATTTTTTTTTAAAAAAACAGCCCCAAGCTTGCTGGAGACGAAGGGGACCTTTCGTCTATAGCCAGCCACCCATGGAGACGAAGTAGACCGCTTCGTCTCGGTTCCGGCCATGGACCGTCTCCAAAATAGGAGTAGTGTAATTGTGTGTAACTTAGAAGGGAAGTGTAAGTGTGTAATCATGCGAGTATTTATAGTGCGCACATTTTTCAATAATTCATTTATTTGTTATTTCTCATAATTTTTCTCTTTCTAAGATTAATGGTGTGTTTGAAAACTCAATTTTCAAATTTTCAATGTATGGAAGAGCAAGGGAAATTAAAGTCAATGAAAATCAATTCAGTCAAAGAAAAAATGAGGCTTATTTTCAAGAAAATGACTTCCGATCAAAATTGACGGAAGTCATTTTCTACAAAAGCCTGAGTCTTTAGCTACCAGAGCAGCCAAAGTGACTTCCGATCAATTTTTTCTACGTCTTTAGCTACGAAAGCCAGAGTCTTTAACTTTCATCCGGCGACAGATCTCAACAACCATTGACGATTTTCGGATGTGGGGACGAAAGCTCACATCCAAAAAGACTTTCAAACCTAACACCTCCCACATAGAGAAGTAACTTAATACTATTGGACCATAAGATCTTTGGTTGAATTTTAACTTTTTAAGACTTTGATTGATTATTTTGATACCTTATTATTAATTTTTTAATTAGATTTAAAATTATTATTATTATTATTATAAATGTTACATCATATTATAATCAAAATAATTAAAATGTTTAATTCTACAACTCAATTTATTTTCTAAAAATTAAACTAAACACGATAAAGATAATTTTTTGAAATGTAACCAAACACGAGGAATCAAGAGTAAAGCCGTTGGTCTTGGCTTCATGAATCATGTTCAACAGAAGTATTAGTTGGGATTGCTTGAAACGAGGCGCAGATGATACTATGTATTGGGCAGTAATACCGCCTGTCGCTGACGCTGAAGAACGAGTACCGGAGGTTCTTTATATACGTTAGCCGTTTTCGGCAGGTGAGTGTCTTATTTGCTAGCCATAACTGTTCGACGGATTGCTTCAATGAAGTTTGTTGATTCCGTGAGTGAGTTCCCTCCATTGTAGACTTGTAGTACCTAGGAAGTGGGTGAACATTAGCTGTCAAAAAATATTTGAATAACATTCTGATCGTGAAAGTGAACCATAAAAGGCTCATTCTGCTTGACTTGCCCCCCCCCCCCCCCCCCCCCCCCAGTATTTGTGGCTGCTTTTACTGATACGCATAAGATTTTAGCATCTCTGAATAATATATAATCTTGTTTATAATTGTTAATAGCCCGAGTTAGCTGTATGGTGGTGGCCTGGTGAGAGTCTAATCCCTTAAAACTGGATGCACTGTGTTTTCTTATTGACTAGTGTGAATTTTGAACAAACTTCTTAAAGAATTTTCTTGGAATAGTTTGTCTTTTATATATTGTTCTAGACAAAAGACTGATCTACAATTTTTGTGCTGCTACAATATCTAATATAATATTGTTATAGGTGTATAACCATGCTTTTGTCATTTTTTGATGACGAAGGAAACTTGTAACTGAAGGACCACTAGGAGGTAAACCAGCCTAGGTTGCCTATATCTTACTGGCTCAAACCAAGAAAGTTAATAGACTACTATCACTGACAGTCGAACTTAGAATCTTGTGGTTACCAAGACAACATTCTGACCAACTTGGATGGGGTTGTCCCTAACTATTATTATTTTAGGAGTGTTAGGAGTGTGAATACACTTTGTTATAACAAAAGAGGAACAAAAACAATGCCAGTTCTCTACTTACTATTGTAGGCCAGTTTCGTTATAACTAAACCAAGAATGGTTCTCCCATTCTTGATGCCATTACATGATAACTGCATAACATTAACATTGTTGACTGACAAAGGATAAACACAGCTTTAAAAAAAAAAATCTTGTACTTGTTCACCCAATTTACACAAGCAAAATTCACCTGGAAATTTGTCTTAATGGAACCTTGTCCTCTGCCTATGAGCTTGCGCTGCAGTTATGCCCAATATGGCCTTGCAGGCTCTTTCAATGTAATGAAAGTAGGCAACCCTCCAAGAATCTTTGAACAGAAGAACACTACAAAATCCCACCAAACCAATCAAGAAACCTGGTCCCAGGCCGATATAGAACCATGGGAAGAAAGAATCATCTGTGTCATCGTTCTCATTGACTTGGTTTGGAGTGTCTGAATCATTACCTCGTTTATCACCAGGACATGGTTTCAGCAGTGGTGTTCCACAAAGTCCATCATTTCCCATATATATGCTTTCATCATTTAGGGTCTGGAGCTGATTTCCTGTTGGTATTCTCCCTGATAAATTGTTGAAGGATAGGTTCAAGTAGCTTAGAAAGTTTAAAGAGGACAAGGTTGGAGGAATTGAGCCAGAAAGTTGGTTTCTTGACAGATCGAGGGATTCTAGTTCTTTCAAATGGCCTATCTTACCAGGGATCTTGCCTTTCAGATAATTCCCAGATAAGTTTAAGTTCAACAAACCTTTAAGATCCATTAGTTCTTCTGGAATTTGTCTGGTTAGTTTGTTGTCTGAAAGGTCTATGGATGTGAGAAAGGGCAGTGTTTTGGTATATCGACGTTCCGTCCCCTTCACGATAGCATCAACTTTTGCTCCATAATCTACATCCTCTGTTGGATGAATAATTGCACTGTGCTCCACAATCATGCCAGTAAGATTACCAAGACAGGGAGGGATTCCACCTGTAAGATTGTTCCCTGCTAAGTCTAGCAGTTGAAGTCCTGGGAGTTGACAGAGCTGTGGAGGAATATGGCCATAGAATTTGTTTGAAAAGAGACTCAAGTACTGAAGATTAGATAAGTTTTCCCCAATCCATGGGGGGATAGGATCTGAGAGCTCATTCTTTCCTACATCAAGGATGCTCAGATATGTTATGTTCTGCAATGGAGGAAGCTTGCCATAAAATTTGTTGTCACCCAGATGTAAAGACAAGAGCCCTGTTAAGGCACCCAAGGAACTTGGTATTTCACCTTGCAGATTGTTGCTAGTCAGGTCAAGCATTGCCAATCCTTGCAGGTCCCCTAAACATCTAGGCAGTGTACCTGATAACTCGTTTGAAGAGAGATCGATGACCATTATTCCCTTAACCTCACATAAAAATATTGGCATCTCACCATCCAGTTGGTTATTGGAGAGTATGAGAACCTGTAGTGTGAGATTGATGCCATTCTGGAGAGGAATACTGCCAGTTAGGAAGTTATCAGACACATCCCAAAGAAGCACATCTGCGGGAATGGGAGTTAAGGGTCCATCAAACTTGTTAGAATGCAGTATTAACCGCCTGTATGGAACGCTACCCTCCTCAAATTTTGGCAGTTTCCCACTGATGTTGTTGGTTGAAAGATCCAAATAGTGAACACGGGAATACAGTTTCTGAAACCAGCCCGGCAAGTTTTCATCAATGCCTGTATTAGAGATTCTGAGCTCCTCAACAAGCCTTTGTGTTTGAAGCCAAGGAGGAAGCTGAGGTCCAAGAACACAGGATGCAAGTTTGATAGTCTTGAGCTGGAAAGGAGGAATCCACTGGGAGCTCATGTTGAAGACCAGGGAGTTCAGGGACATCGACAACTCAGTTAACCTCGTCAGCTCAGAAAAATGAAGTTCAGATACCACTCCAGTTAAAGCATTGTTGGAGACATCCAATTTCTCAAGCTTCAGTAATTGACCTAGACTAGAAGGTATGCTCCCATTGAACCGATTATTACTAATGTCTAGCTCCCTCAAAGACAATAATGTTCCAAAAGATGTTGGGATGGGACCCTGCATTGAGTTATAAGAAAGCCGAAGATACTCTAAATCATGGAAGCAGGGAAATGGTGTTGTTTCTAACTCTGGCATCTCTCCGGTGAATCTGTTATCAGACAAATCAAAGAACTGTAACTTGCAAAGACGGTTAATGGCTGTTGGTATCTTTCCTTGGAACTTATTCTGGGACAGGTCCAAATACTTTAGATTGGTCAAGTTAAAAATGGAATCAGGCATGGAAGTATTGAAGAAATTAGAAGAAAGACCAAGGGCTGTAAGGGAGGTTAACGATCCCAAAACATCAGGAATTCTTCCATTGAAACCATTTCCATCCAGCCTGAGATGCTTTAGGCTAGAAATGTTGAACAACCAGAGAGGTAAAACAGAGTTGATAATGTTATTCCGGAGATCCAACGAGACAAGAGATGTGAAATTCGCCTGTGGAAGAGCAGGAATCCTACCAACATTACTGTTAGACAAGTTCAATAATGAAAGAGAAGGAAGCATGTTGATTTCACTCAACCAGTCCTCGGCCTCTCCAAGCTGGACTCCTGATAAGTCCAAATGTTCCAAAGATGAAAGCTTAGATACCCACCCGAGACTATCAGCTGCCAATCTGTTGGTCCAAAAATCACCGAGGTCAAGGTACTGCAACCCCGAGAGGTTTCCTAGATGATGAGGGACATTCCCTCCAAACCGGGCAACCGAGAGGTCAAGGTATCTGAGGCTTATCATGGAGCCTAAAAACATAGGTATCCGAGCTCCTGAAAAGTTGTTCATGCTCAAGTCCAGGTAAAACAACTGCTCGAGATCTAGTAAAGACTCGCTTATCTCGCCCCCCAAGCATGTCCTGCTATAATTTGCCGCATAGCTAGTGTCATAGTTCACCCTGTCATAATCAAAAGGAGCTGGATTGTGAAGATGAAGCTGCTCAACATGGCCTGTTTTGTTGTTGCAACTTACACCTTTCCAGGTACAACAATCTTCTCCCTCCCAAGATGCAAGCCGGTTCGATTCATCTATGATGGCGTTTTTGAACTTTATCAGTGCTCTTCTTTCACTCTTGACGCAGGTTACACTGCTAGCAAGCTGGAGGCCTTCCATGAAACAAAGTGATAAAAGCATCCATAGAACATTAGTAGAAGCTGCCATGGATGGAAGAGTTGAAGATTGTGTTGAGCTGTGATATCCTCAGGTTTGATTTTCAAGTCTTTGAATGTGAAAATGTATGATATGTAATTGATTTGCACGTCCGGAGTCAAACCAAACCTTTTTTTGAACAAAAGTAATACGTTCTTATCAAATATTAATGAAGTTAAAATACTTTAAACAACCAAAGTAATCCACTTTCGGAATCTCTATTAACCAACAAAATTTGAGTTCATTAGCGTATTGTTATACAATGTATCATGTAAAATGTTTTATTATTTCTATTGATGATGTGAACTATTAGCTAGACTTTTGTCGTTTATAAATGAATTGATTCTCAAGGAAAGTGAAGATATATTAATATATTAATTTGCAAGAAATCAATTCAGTTGACTGTTGATTTTAAAATTCTATCTGTACTCTTTGTTTTGGCTTATTTTTGACTTGGTGTGGCTAAATCCAGAGGTATTTGAAAAAGAATTTAAATAAAATAATTTTGCAGACATAAAATTTAAATAAAAATAATTTTGCTGACTTAGTTTCATTGTTGACCTTTAAACCCATTTAACTCAGAGAAAACAAGGACAGTTATCAACACCAACCCGACAACAGTGCTTCTTGATTTCGGTCAAGTACCCGAGAGCTCAAGAAGGGTCATGGTGAACGCAAATAGGCTCAAGGCAAATATAAACTTTCTTTTTTCACCTCCTTGCTTGATCTCTGCCTCAACTTCAATAACAGATGGAAAAAGTGTCAAATTGGCCCCCTAAGTGAAGCGGATAGTGCAATTGAGTCCCCTAAGTAAAAAAAGCTCCATTTCAATCCCCTAAACCTGTAAAAAAGTTCAATTAGGTCCAAAGTTACCTGTTTAGCAGGTTAGTGTCTTCTAATGGTGACATGTGTCTCTTTATTATTATTATTATTATTATTATTATTATTATTATTATTAGATTTTTATTTTTTTTTTTAAAAGAAATTCTTCATACAGCTACCGGCTGTAGCAGCCGGTGGCTGTACTCATTCAAGGAGAGCCATGGCTGTGGCGACAGCCCTGGCTATCCGGCAGCCATGGCTGTCCTAAAATACAGCCATGGCCATCTAAAAAAAAAAATTAAAAACTTTTGAATTTTTTTTTACTGCCATGGCACCCATCGCTATGTAAAAAAAAAATAAAAATATCAAAATATCTATCAATCCGTCAAGAAATGAGCATTAAGGAGAAAGGAGAAAGGTGGCGGTTCTGTCCGACAGTGATGTTGGTTGGAGTGGTCTCAAACTGTGCGTCGGAGCTGAAGCTTCTCCTTATCGCTTTCCCGCCGGAGCTAAGCATTAGAAGGTGACAGCTCCTCCTTCTCTTCTCTATTATCAGTGAAATTTATCCCCGTGCCGCGAATCTTGAATAAATATTGATATGGATGAAGACAAAAATGGCTGTAAAAAAAAAATCAAATTTTTTGAATTTTTTTAGATGGCCATGGCTGTCTCAGACAGCCATGGCCATCATTTTTGACAGCGTCGTTGTCAAAAAAAATTCATAATTTTTGAATTTTTTTTACACGGCCATGGCTATCTCAGATAGCCATGGCCGTCTTTTAGGACAGCTATGGCTGCCGGGTAGCCACGGCCATCATTTTTGACAGCCGTGGTTGTCGCCGGATAGTCATGGCTGTCCTTGAATGAGTACAGCCACTTTACCGTCGGTGGTGGTATGAAGAGTTAATAATAATAATAATAATAATAATAATAATAATTAAAAAGCGACACATGTCACCATTAGAAGACACTAACCTGCTAAACAGGTAACTTTGGACCTAATTGAACTTTTTTACAGGTTTAGGGGATTGAAATGAAGCTTTTTTTACTTAGGGGACTCAATTGCACTATCCGCTTGACTTAGGGGGCCAATTTGGCACTTTTTCCATAACAGATTGTGACCCCTATGACTGGCAGCGGCGAGGAGGCTTGGACGGCGTTCGTGCGTGCTAAAACAGAGAAGAGAGCGCGTGCTTGCTTGCTGAAACAAAGAAGAGAAGGGGCTTGGACGGCGGCAAGGATGCTTAGAAGGCAGTGACTGGCGTGCGGCTTTTATTCTATTTTGCCCGGTGGTGAGCTACGCGAAGAAGAAGAAGCAGTTACGTAAAAAGACTATTTTGCCCTCATGAATAAAAAGATTTAAGTTTTTTCGATCAATTTTCACCAATAATTTGGCCGGGAGGACCAAATCTGCTAAAAAAACATAGTTAAAGGACTAAATTGTTAGTTTTAAAAATCACGGATCGAAATTAACACGCCCCCTATAGTCATAGAACCAAAAATGTAATTTGCTCTTCTACAAAACATTTCTTTCTTCTCTCTTTCATTATCATTCGACCAATAGTAGAGCCAACAAAATTTCTTTCCCGTCAAATAAAACCGAGATATATTTACAATATAAGTGAAAGGACCATTTTTGTAATTGAGGAGATAATTAAGAAACCAAATATATTGACCTTAAAGGGACACATTTGAGTAGATAATTAAACAACCAAATGCTTTTATTTTATACTAATTGAGGGTTCAAATTTAAACACATAATAAGGGTCTAAAAGTGTAATTTTTCCTATATTCATCACTATAATATTAGACAGATTCACTGATTATTTGATTATAATACATTAGATACTCTCATTTTGAGCAAAGAATTTATCAACAAATAGAATACTATCATCAATATACTGCTTTGTTGCAGGTAAGATTTTAAAACTGTCAGTAAAAATATTTCCTAAACACGGTGAACTACAAAAAAAAAAAAAAAAAAAAAAAAAAAAAAAAAAAAAAAAAAAAAAAAAAACATTTTACCTTGAAAGCTAAACCAGAAAGTTATGTAAGCTACAAAGATTGAAATCCCTCTATTCAGGCCAATGTTTCTTTAACTTTAAAGGTTTAACACAAACTATAAATCAGAGTATGTCTATAGCTTGTGCACCTCAAGGATTTGATGTGGCCGCCTCGTGGTTGATCATCAATACACAATGCTTTCTGTTTTTTTCTTGCCCCTTAGGAAGTCAGCTTAATCATCACCAACGTCAACTCCTTTCTTCTTTAGAAAGTCCTTAGCTTCAAAAATGTCCTACAAGAAGGGGGAGAGAGGGGTGGGGGGGGGGGGGGGGGGGGTTCAAAATTATAATTCCATCTTCAACTCACGTCTATACACAAGCACTTTGTTTTGCTCGTTTCATTGGCTATGGAACCTGTGCATAATCTTGACTAGCACTTCATTACATGACCATTTGGCCAATAATCCTAACTTTGGAAGATTTACCCAACGGGGCTTATATCAACTAGAATTTATTTATATTAATAAAATGACGAAAGCAAACCTGCTGTAATAAGAGAGCTTCCCGAGGACATGTAGGAAATGTCATCAAACCAACCCCAACCATCAATAGGCCATAGCAACCAAGAGACACGATTAGGTACAGAGGAACCTGCGTAGCACTTATCAAACGTTAAACAGGGCAAAAGTATTAACCCTATGCTAAAGTAATTACATCAACTGAATAACTTACCAACCAGATATAGCTCTCAGGAAGAACTGAAGTTTGCAACAGAAAAATCCACACGGCTGATACAGCCGTTAGCAATGTCATGATCTTCACAATTTGTTTCATTGCACCTGCCAAAAAGGCGTTTGGTCGATCATTTTCTTCTTAGATTCTAAGCAAGACAAATTAGAATTTACAACAAAGGAATAGCAGAAACACCAGCTCAAGTGGACGGACTTTTATGCAAGTAAATAGTAAGCACAAAGTTACAAGTATTTTCATTTTCAACTGAGTACATAAAAGAAAATCACAATAGCTCATAGCATTTAGAACAGCTCGTATGCAAATTAGGTGGAAAAAGAGATATATATGATATGTAACATTTATAGTTGTTATAATCTAAAGATTGGGCCAGGGCCACTTAACTGGCTTATAATGCACATCGGCCAAACCACACTAAAAGATTGAATTCAATCAATTAGCTAGTCTAACCCATGGCCTTATAAACCCATATGTAATATGTTCTCTCTTATTTTTTTCAAAGTGGGACTCTTAACAATAGCATTTCGTAGCACCTTTATGACACCTGAGATACTGCAAGACAACAAAACAACTAGGGGAGTACATAGTTAGTGCAAATTGGCTTTTGGCCAAACTGAAAGCTTAATTTAACCAATTGCTATGCACAAATTTAAACAGAAAATGAAACTGATCCTTTGGTTTGGCTCAACGAGTTTATTGTCTGGTTCAGATTGGCTTTTGATTTCCTAAGCATTATGAATTAGTTTAGAAACTTTGCTGCAAAATCCTTCCAGTAGTAGATAGAAAGCCAAATATTTGAGTGAAATAAACCAAATTGCCAAATTCACAGTTCATAATCCTCCACATAATAAGCATACAACTAAACATTGTTCTACAGCTAATAACCAACAAATTTCAAAACTAAACATACAAAAAACCTTAATCAAAAGATGAAGAAGATTATAGCCAACAATAAAGTCTCAAAAAATACCAAGCTCCAAAAAACTGAGGTGCAGCTAGCTTTTCAGACATTTCAACTGGTACAGCGTGTACACTACATCCAATTCTCCAGTAAAATCAATACTACTCTTTTCCTCAGTATGTCCTCAATCACATTAAATTTGAACTTTCAGAATTATTCATTTCCATGTGTTTATGATGGGGCAGTTGTGCAAAGGATAAGCAGAAAACAACTAAAAGGGCCTTGTCTGAAATATAGGTGGAAATGAGTGTCATATATTCAAATACAAAATACATTATAAATTACATACAATATTTATGATGAACGACAGGATAATATTCCTCTACTCTCTCTCATATTCTGAAATCACTGAAAATATTTAGCTCCCTCATCTTTACTCACCCATATTTCTCAATTTTATATATATATATATATATATATATATATATATATATAAACAGACTACTTTCTTCAACTGCACTAAGCAAATGTGTCAT